AGCACCAGTACAGTTAATGAGAAACCTGTACTTCTGTGCTTGTTTGTTCTGTCTAAAATGTTTATTTTGGAATAAAGAGGTTAATATAAAAAAAATATTTTGTGTCCGATTCATCGATTAATCGAAAAAATAATCGGCCGATTCATCGATTTTCAAAATAATCGTTAGTTGCAGCCCTAATTGTAAATATCTTTCTTCTTGTAATTGTAAGAACATGATTGAAAGCGGTTATTACGGCATATATAAAAATATAAATCCCACATTTTTATGGAACTGTTATCTTGAAGAAGCCTATTTGTAAATTTTTCACATGTAGTGTTTTTTTCTTTTTTATGGTGGGCTATGATTGCTGTGGCATGCACTCACAGCTGTTCAATAACCTAAGAGCGACTTCCAAGAATGAATGATCACAATATCATTATCACAATAGTACAAGAAAATATAACAATAAGATTGAAAGTCCATATCGCTCAGCCCTATTGGCCTGCCAATATCTTTAAACAATATTGGCATTATTTTCTTGTACCGGAATCGTCTCCTACCCCATGCATGAAGCTTTTACAGGACCGAAGAGCTCCTTTAGTGACAGACAGCTGCACCCTAAATGCACCAGGAAGCGTTAACACAGATCCTTCCTCCCGGCAGCTGTACGACATCACAGTACCCAATAACCTGAATAAGTTGTTGCATACATGCAAAAACTTATTGCAGTTTTTGTCTTAGTCGGTTAAATAACATGCAGCTGTTATTTTTGCACATCTCTGGTGTTGCTGCTATTTTCACCAGCTGCACAGTATTTGTATTGCAAAACATTGTACAGTATTTTATTTGTTTTATTTTTAACTCTCTTACTTATTATGTTATTTTTATACAATTTTTAAGGTCCACATTTGTGTGACCACTTTTGCTATATTATTTTGCTGCTGCAATGCCACAATTTCCCCTTTGTGGAACAATAAAGGGATTTTCTATTCTATTCTATTGGCTCAGATGTGCAAGCCTTTGCAGATTTCTAAGCACATTCAGCAGCCATGCATTGAGATCAGTGCATCCATTGCCACTCCCTCCATTTGTGATCTATTGTTAATTATTTATTTGATTTGATAATATATGTTTCGTTTTTTTCAAATAATTCAAAAGTTCTGCAACATTTGTTGTCATGGCGATTTTTCATATGTAAATGGAGGAAAAGAAATCGATATCAGCCTGAAGAATCGTAAACAAACTACGGTTAATTCTTGTACGACATAAAGTAGATTTGAAAATGTTAATAACAGCTCTATTTTCTACTCTTACATGTTATGTGGTGTTGAAAGCTTGCCATCACCCTAAAGTGAACCAGAATATTTGATAACACGGGAAAAGCAACATGGAATATAAAAGACGTTTTTCCTGCTCTAAATCTATGTACAAACATAACTGTGCCTTTAGAGTTAAACTAATACGTCATCTGGCCAATATTTTTTGCCAATGTTAGAGTTTTTTTTTTCCTTACACATTTTGTTACTCACCAACACACAGGATGTTGAAGCAAAAACCCTGTGTGACCGATTTACTGACCAGCTGGTCAGGGAGGCTGTCAAATCCAACATGGCCGCCCAGGCTTAGGTTACGCTTCTCCTCATTCTGAAAGGAATTAGACAAAACATCAGAGATCTGGTACATTTGAGGAAAACATGGCAAAGATGTCACATTCACATTTTTGTGCAACTAAGCATCAAAGATCTTCTGCTCAGCAAGCAGACGTTAAGCCTATCAGCTATACACACTGACTTAGTTCATCAGCGCCTTCAGGAGGGATGAGTGAGAATAATCCTCCACAGAAAGGACAAGAGACAAGAACAAAGAACGCACGCATGTTCTGAAACCTCCACAGATTTATTTAGGGGTTGAAAATGTATGGAAGCTATGAACATTGTCTAATCATGTACAAATGCCATTTAAAACAAGAGAGTCAGATCGCAACTCATATATTTTTCTCTAAAGAGTTTACAAGAACATAGAGGACACAGTAAAAGCAAAATAAACCTGGCAAACAAAAGCTACAGTAAGCGATTTTTGATTGTGTGCTTGAACTGGAGCAATCAGGGAGCGAGAAGACAGCACCTTGAGATGAATGGAGCCACCCGATCTGGTCTGGCTCAGCCGCGAAGGGCCGCATGCTTGAAGGCTGATGTCACCCGAAACAAGCAGCCAAAAGACAAGAGCTCAGCTTAACGCAAGGGGGAGAGATTGGCTTTGCATACAGACGAGATCTCTTAATAATAAAACTAAGGCGAGAGATCGAAAGCATCTGCAAATTAAAGGTTGAAAATGAGAAGGAAATTGAGTTTAATAATTTAAAGAACATCAGAGAAACATGTTTTGTATGAACTAAAGCAGGGATTAATGATATTTTAACCCATTTATAAAAACACCTATTAAACACATTTATAACTTGGTCACTTGTCTTACATTAAAATAAACAAAACATATCTGGTAAATTTCTATAATTAACCAGTTTTCCTTAGTATATATCTGATCAACCATTCACAGGTATTAAGAGTTATAATGCTTTTTCCAGTCATTTGTTAAGCGGGAAAACTTGAATGCCGTTAACTAAAGCCACGGACACACACACACACACACACACACACACACACACACACACACACACACAAGATAGGAATGTGGAGAAGTCCTTGTTTGTTGTTCACTGTAAACTCAGAGCTTGTTTCACAGCCTTTAGGTTTTCCTGTGGTATTTAGCTTGCTGACTGAACATTGCAGAGATACTAAGATTCTTGTGGGGGGTGGGGGGGCTGGCTAAACTATTATGCCTGGAGAGAAACCCATGCAATTACTCAGAAGCTTCATGAGGGATGGTTTAAAAGGAGGAACTTACATAAGACTTCATTTTATCCAGGAAATGATCTCTTTGAATGGCTGAAGGAGGCGTCCATCAGCATATTTCTTAATATTTCTTAAAAAAAAAAAATACTGTACAAATGAAACTAAAAACTTCCTTCTTTGGTCAACAGAACTCTTAGCTTTTGTGTAGACATCGTTTTTGATCTGTTCATGATATGCATGGGCCTGTACTGTGGTCACCCATAGCGAGCCAGTAGAGTCAGCCTCTGTGTGAATTCAGCTGTTCGGTTAGAGTCTTGGAGGTTTTTTACAGTATTAAATCCCAAAGTTGGGCTAATGGGTCCTTGATCAACTGGGATGATATCTTAAGCTCCACCAAAAAAAAATAAAAAATATTCATAAATCTTTATGGTAAAATGCTCAGATGCACAAGCATCAGTTAAAATGGATAAAACCAATAACTTAGGTTGTTGATGTTTTTAGTAGTGTAATTTCACCCAAGGCTAGTTTATTTAGTAAAGTTTTTGCAAACTAAGGCAGTCGATTTTTTTTCTGATTCGTCGATTAATAACCAGATAGCAAAAGGATTGTAGAGGAGCTGAGCAGCTCCTTTAGTAAAAGACGTTTACACCCTGTTAGTAAAAAGGAGCACTAGCACAGGTCATTCATCGCTTCTGCCATCAGACTACACAATGCAACACTACAACAACAATGACTTGTGCAAAGTATAATGTGCAATATACCATTTGGTACCTTTTTCTTCCTTTTTGGCACCTTCTTCATCTTTTTGACTAGTTAAGCTGATGTAACGAGTACATTTCTCCACTGTGAGATCAACAGAGTCAATCAATCAGTTCCTTAAAGAGGACCTTTTGCTAAATTAAACCAAGTGAAACTAAAACTTTTCCACTTGAGGAGTTCTGATAGAGCACATTGACAAGACGAAAAAGATTTTTATCTTAAATGCAAACTGTATACATATTATTTTACAATTTTGGGTATAACTGCTGCTCAAGGTGGGTTGTTCTGTCAGCTAAATGCATGTTTTATAGTCTCTATAAAAAAGAGAGATTAGTGCACTATATTACTTGACTATTACAATAATTGATTAATCACAATTAATCACAATGATTCTTTTAGCCCTATTGCAAAGTCAACCAATAGTTTGGGTGATGAGTTGACTCTGGTGACATTTTGTAGCTCAGAAACTGAAAAGTTTGGGAATTTGAGAGAACAAGCTTCTAATAAACCCTTTAAAAATATTCAAATGCTCCTCCATTTTTCTAAAAATTAAGAAAACAGACACAGAAAATAGTGGATGACATGTAAGGATTCAGTGCTCAGGTAGAAAGAATCTGCTCACAGGACAACTACTGCTTTTCTGCTTTAAAATCTGCCCATTCTGGAAAAGAATGGGAGAAAAATTAAAGGCTAAAAAACAGTTAAGACTTGGACAGACGTTCACCTTCATGTAGGAGGAAGGAGGATTTGGATAACTAAATGCTAAAGCATTTTGTACAATCATCTTTTCAAATCCACTTTCAGATAGATAGAAAACGATATACCAGTGAGCAGAGTTAAATGCGAGGGCTTTCATGAGTTCATGCTTTTCATGGAGCCAAGTTTTAACATTCTCTGAGAGAAATCTATGAAGCACTCATTAAGAAGAACAAAGTGTCACTCCCACCACAGATTTTTAACTTGCTTAACTTTACCGTCTGATTTATTGAAATGAAGTGTAAAGTCTAACAGTATGGCAGAGCGAATAATCTTGTCTATAATTATAAATTTACATCTCATTTCATAGGGACTTATAGGGATTTCTTCTTTATTTTCTCCTTTATTTTAATTAGTATTTAATAGAACTTACAGAATAAATTGCTAAAGGATATGCTTTTTTATAAATTCGGAACATTGTAAAAAAAAGAAAAAAAAAGAAATGCGTCATGTTTTTGAAACCCCTTTTTTATACAACGAGACATTCAAGGGAATGTTTTTAACAAAATGCACACTTGGTTGGTAGCTGATTGATAAAAAAACAATAAAGTTTAAGTTAATTCTATCAATAACCTTCGCCACCAACTTATTTAAGTAAAAAAAAAAAAAACAAGCTTAAGTATTTAAAATAGAATCCATCCATTTTTCTTAGTAATACTTAATCAGAATAATTGATCAAATATTTGCAGCCCTGCCTATTTCTTATGGAATTTGAGCCATTTTGCAAAGAATTTGGAAAGAATTTGGAAAATGGGGGAATGGTGGCCTAGGGCATAGAGCTTTGAATCCTGAGGTTGAGAGTTTGAAACCCACTCCCACAGACTGCCACCTTGGATCCAAAAAGACCAACCCGCCCCGGGCGCTACAAATGGTAGCCCACTGCTCCACAAGAGGATGGGTTGAATGCAGAGGTTGAATTTCATTGCGCTGTAGTTGTGACAGTGCAATGACAATCTAATACTGGGGGAAAAAAAGAAAAATAATAATATACAAAGATTTCAGTTTATAGATGTGCAAATATTGACCATACAACAAGAGGCTTGCAGTTGTAAGGGCAAAGTGGCTATAATGAGCCCCAGTTTATTTCTATCCATCTGTGTATGTGTGCGCTGTGTTCACGTCACACTTTCTTCAATTTTTATGAGCAAAAACGCTTAAAAACTATTCAACTTTTTCCTTCCATATAATAATATTATACTACTTCATATTGTGCTGCCACATTTGAATAAAAATATATAGAAAAAAAATACAGATTGTGGTTTTAATATGACGATATGTAGAGCTCAAAGAGTATAAATACTTCTGTAAGGGAAGGTAAACAGCTTTAAGAAGAAAACGGGCCCTTTAAACTTTGCTTCTGTTCTTCACTAAAACCCAAATGGTAAAACTGTATAATTCAAAAGAACAACAAGGATTCTGAGTCAGATAATAATATAGGATTAACCTCCTACACCAAACCAGATTGATCTAGTCTGTGTCATCTATATAGTAGAAACACATCAGAGGCAGATGGGTTCTGTGACTGAATGATGCAAACGGAAACTGACCCTACAGACCAAACCAAGTGTTATCTTTTAGACCGAGCAGAACTGCAGACGTGGACATCGAGCCTCCAGCTGGGTTTTCACCATGTCATTCAACACTGGACTAAATTACAACCTACTCAATCTTTCACTTTTTTTTTTACATCAGCAGAAACAAAACATTTAAAGGTTTCCTGCAAACAAAATCCAGCAATTTTCCATTGTTTTAATCAAGTATTTTATACATCTTATTTCAAATTTCTTTCCAGATGGGAAAGTGGGAGCCAGACTAATCCCACCACATGTACACAACAAAGTAAAAAAAAAACATAATCTGTAAGCTCAGCATGCAGAGAGGACACAATTAATAAAAAAAATAAATATATACCACACCATCAGACGTACGTTTACCCATCAGTTACAATCAGACCACTGTGAGCAACCATGAAGAATCAGCTTCCACAAACCCGTGCTCCATCGACAGCGTGAAATATGAAAGGAATTAATATCTTATGGTTGTCTCCACTGTATCACCAGACAGAAAGGGAAAGGGTGCAAAGAGAAACCCTAAGGCGCTTTAAAGTCAAATGAGGCGCAAACAATATGGGTAAGTATAATTTTATTAAAGCCTAGCAGGCTTATAAATGACAAAGTTTAGAAATGGATTTTCTTATTTTCCACTTATGAAACCGAGAGGTAAGCTGCAGATTAATGAGGATCTCAAAAGAGTTATCTCTATTACAAAAGACACAATGAT